TGTGGGGCTGGCAGGGCCGGCGCTGCAGGATGGGCAGGTTGAAGGTCTCCTGTGGCTCATCTGAGTCCTTTTGGGTCCTCTGATTTCTCAGTGTCCTGTAGAGAGTGGGGGTGAAGTGGAGGGGAGCCTGCGGGGAGCCCCCCAGTGTAGGGGTGGCCGTGCCGGGCAGATCCTCCGGGCAGGGACAGTGGGGCTCAGCCTCCCGGGGCCGGCCCCGGAGCAGCGGGACGAGGTGGATGTCGGTCTTCTGGATCTGCCTGCGCGGCTTCTTGAGCTGCTGCTGCCTGCGGGCATCCTCTGCCTCCCTGCAGTTATAAGCCATGCCATCCTTCTTCTCCTTCTTACGCACAGACAGGGTTAAAGCCAAAAGGAGAAGGCACCCGCCCAGGAGAGCGGCCAGGCAGATAACGACCACCACGAATGGGCTCAGCCACCTGGGATCCTGGGCTGAGATTTTGGAGAATGCCCCGTGGTGCCGGAAAACTAAGCGGACACGAGCCAGGGTGTGCAGGGGGATATCCCCCCCATCGCTCACCTGGACCACCAGCTCCCACTCGCTCCCGGCGAGGCTGCTGGCATTGCTGGCGTTGAGGAAGACCTGCCCCAAGAGAGGGTCCAGGATGAAAAGCCCAGCATCGTCCCCACCCACCAGATCATACCGGAGAGCCCCGTTGATGCCAGAGTCTGCATCCCTGGCTGAGACGGTGAAGAGGAAGGGAGCGTCGGCGCACGACATGAGAGTTGCATTGGTCACCGCTGCAGTCCCTTGGGTGCTCCCATTCCCCAGGGCTACCCAGAAGCACCCTGTCTCTGCATTGACCAGGACAGAGAGTGTGGCCGCGCCTCCCACCAGCACCGGCGCAGTGATGACAGGTGCGTTGTCGTTCCGGTCAATCACAGCCAGCCTGATGGAGACATTGGATGCCAGCTTGGGTTGACCACCATCCTCTGCCATCACCAGGATCTCCAGGCTCCTCACCTGCTCATAATCAAAAGGTTGGAGGGCAAAAACATCCCCAGAGGTGGGGTCGATTGAGACCAGACCTGAAGTGGAGGAGTGTGGGATGCTGTAGGTGATTTTCCCGTTGAAACCCAGGTCCGGGTCGGTGGCTCGGACAGTGAGCAGGAAGGCAGGTGCTTTGCTGTTCTCAGCGATGGCAGCCTCATAGGCGGCCTTCTCGAAGGAAGGGGCGTTGTCATTGATGTCGCTGATGCGGATGGTGAGGTGCTTCAGCACGGCCAAGGAGAGGTCACCCTGGTCCCGCACCACCAGCGTCAGGTTGTACTCGGCGCGCAGCTCCCTGTCCAGCGTGGTGTTGGTCAGCAGCACAAAGCTGTGGCTGTTGGTCCTCTTCAGCCTGAAGTGCTCGTACCCCTGACTGAGGGAGCAATGCACTTGCCCATTGCTTCCCGAATCAGGGTCACTGGTTGTCACCAGAGCCACAAAGCTGTCTTTGGGCAGGGCTTCGGAGAGCACGGGCACCCGCATGGCCCAGGTGACGTGGACGTCAGGAGCGTTGTCGTTGACATCCAGGACTTTGACCAGGATCTTGCAGTGCGCTGGGATGGGGTTGGCGCCCAGGTCCCGGGCTTGCACGTCCAGCTCATAGGCGTGGGTCTCCTCATAGTCCAGCAGGTGCTTCAGGATGACGCTGCCTGTGCGCGCATCGATGCTGAACGCGCTCAGCACCTCCGGGGGCGCGTGCCTGCTCAGGCTGTACTCGATCTCCCCGTTGGGACCCTGGTCGGGGTCGGTGGCCGTGACTGTCACAAGCAGGGTCCCGGGCACAGCATCCTCCCGAACCTCTACTGTGAAAGAGCTCTCTGCAAAGACGGGGCTGTTATCATTGGAGTCAAGGACAATGACTTTAATTAAAGCAGTACCTGATTTTGGCGGCTCCCCGTGATCGGTGGCTGTCAGCACAAGGTCGAAGGAGGAGTGCAGCTCCCGGTCCACTTCTTTAACCACAACAAGCTCCGCATGCCTCATCCCATCAGAGCCGGCGATGACCTCCAGAGCAAAGTGCTCACTGGGGGAGAGGGCATAAGAGCAGTGGGCGTTGGGGCCGGCATCGGCATCCAGGGCTCGATCCAGCGGGATCCTCATCTGCAGGGATGCACTCTCTGACATCTCCAGCTCCAGCTCGGGCGTGGGGAACCGTGGTGCATTGTCATTGATATCCAGCACTTGAACTTCCACATGAATCAGAGCCAGGTTTTGGGCAGCCAGCACGTCGAATGAGACCCAGCAGGGATCGCTGTGCCGGCAAAGCTGCTCCCTGTCCACCCGCCCGGCCGTGCTGAGCACCCCATCCCCGCTCCCCACATGCAGCGGGAACCTCCCGGGGGTCTCCATCAGCTGGAAGGTATCCGCTGAGCTGTTTCACCGCTCTCTCCCCCCTCAAAGTGCTTGGCCAGCGTCCCTATCACGGTTCCCAGCGGCACTTCTTCAAACACCCGGTACTGCACTGTGAACGTGGCCACCTCCTGGGCGTCGGCGGAGAGGAAGAGGTACCACCACAAGGCTGGGAGATGGAGAGCAGACCGGCTCAGCAGCAGCATGTTGCTGGCGAAGCCCACCGCCCCGCTGCCCCAGCACACCGCTGTGGGCTTGCCCACCTGCCGCCGCATACCCGAATGGTCCTTACGGCGATCGCAAGTCCTTGGCATCCTCTCCCATCTCCAAGTCCCATAGACACCAGTCACCAGTTGGAAAGGAGGAGAAATCACCAGCAAATCCAGCGGTTGTCCCCCGCCCTGCCATCACCGGGGGACAGCCGGGAGACCCAGCTGCTCCCAGGGCTGACACCCCCAGCCCGGAGCAGAGGGGACTGCCACTGCCGCAGCGTCCAGCCAGCCGGGCTGTGCTGGGAGGTGGATCAGCGGTGTTTCCTATGGAAACCCCACCTACAGGAAAAGGGAGGACCGGGCTGGGGTGATGCCTGGGCGGTAGGGGCTGGCGGGGCGGCACACTTCCCAACTGGGAGAGAGGTGTGGAGGTGCCCTTGGTTTCCAACCTGTAAAGACCATCACTGCTGCCTGCTGTCACTTGCAAAATGCATTTTGCAGAAGGCACCATTCCTGCAGACAGTCCCTGACCCATCTGCGAAGCCTTGAGTGTGCATCAGGAAGGTGTCTGCAAGGACCAGCAACGATGGGCTTCTGCTCTTGTGTTAACCCAAAGGCTCGTTCCCCACGCTGTTAGATTTCTGATTTAATTTTACTTCTTTTCATTTTGTCTAAATACAGCGTGCAACCCCTGCTCCTCGCTCTGCCTTTTGCTGTCGGTTTCGAGGGCGATGTGCCCACATCACCTTTTCCAACATATGGCTTTTGATTATGTCACTGCTTCGTTTTCATCTGGACACACCAAAATGAGCTAATGAGTCACTGGGAGAGCTGCCAGGTCAAACACAGGCAGGTGGGCACGAGGGAAGAAAGGAGACTCTGCCAGATGCGATGTGTCCTCTCAGGCCTCTCCCCATCCCCTGCATCCGTCTGTCTCGGCCAGCTCCCCCGTCCTGGCACATCCGCTACCACCGCCTTGGCTCTGCTGTGATTTCCCCAGCGTCACTCTGTGACCCAGCACTGATTTTGCTCCACCAAACCCCTGCTTTGCCTTATTTCAGCATCTCACCCCAAGCACCCTCGCAAGGCTGCGCAGCCGTACCGCCCTATGCGCGTGCATTCGTTCCTCCTGAGCCCGGTTACCCCATACCGGGCTGTATGTTGAGGTCTTGAGGTGATTGAAGGCATTTGGCACAGGGAAGGTCATAGAATCACAGAATGGTCTGGGTTGGGAGGGACTCCCACTAGCCCAGGTTGCCCAAAGCCTCATCCAGCCTGGCCTTGAACCCCTCCAGGGATGGGGCATCCACAGCTTCTCTGGGCCACTGCCTCACCCCCTGCACAGGAAAACATTTCTTCCCCAGATCTCATCTCAATCTCCCCTCTTTCAGCTTAAAACCATTCCCCCTCGTCCTATCCCTCCACCCCTGATCCAGAGCCCCCCCATCTCTCCTGTAGCCCCCTTTCAGCACTGGAAGGTGCTGGAAGGTCTCCCCGGAGCCTTCTCTTCTCCAGGCTGCACACCCCCAACTCTCTCAGCCTGTCCTCGCACGGGAG